CTTACAAGTATTACACCTGCAGCACAAAAATCTAACAATTACAATTCACTTTTTAAGGTATCAGAAAAAAGAATACTTACTAATCCTCTAAATAGAAGGACTAAATCTCCCCCACAGACACATTTCCAGCACCAAGAAAGCTTGACTTCTTGTCTTTCAGAATTCTGGTTTAAGTACCCTAAGTTGATTTAGCTAAGTTTCTTATTTTTTCCTTTTTTTTTTTTTTTAAGTCACCTTGTCCAATGACAAACTGCACCATGAAGAACACTGTCTCACCAAGCAAGAGCACAGCAATCACGTCACTGAGACCTCATTAAGGCTAAACTATAAACAGACCTGGCATCTGCCAGTGTCCCCAATGTTGAGCCGTAGCTGCAGATCAGAGTAACCTTCTTGTTACAGGGGATCACAGAAGTCTAACCTTCCCCTCCAAGGCTTTCCTAGCCTAGCTGATTATCCAGAAGAGGAAAAGATTAGTGCTACTTTTTAAAAAGGTGGGGGTTGGCAGGCAAGCAGTTTAAAAGGGAGGGAGTCAATGTAACTCATTCACAATATGAAAAGCCATGTCAAGAACATGAACATCATCCCAATCGTCTAAGCACCTGTAATAGCCAAAGATCCTTTCAGTCACTTTATTTCAATGGATAAAGAAGAATCAATGGAGCGGATGAGCCAAGAGAGGCAAGGATAAAACAACTTCTCTGTTATGATATTATACAAATAATGGCTGTTGTGTGCCTATTGTGACTGGTATAACAGTGCTACAATATCCCAAGAGCCCAAATTATTCTATGTATAAAGGGTGTGGGAAAGTGCTCCATTATTTCTAACACCCCTATGTCTGTAATTTCCTGGAAAAAGACGCAAAACCATGAGGGAAGGCAGGCTCTAAGTAGGCACAAAGTTACTGTCTCGTAGCCTTGAACGTAAGGAGGAGCCCATCTTCAGTCTATAGGGAATATAAGACAGGGCCTGCTACATGGAGACCAGCAAAGAGCTAGGAAGCCTGACCGGTCTGTAAAGAAACAAGGCCCCAATCTGAAGCAAGCAAGGAAGGAAGGAAGGAAGGAAGGAAGGAAGGAAGGACCACTAGGCCAGACTTTTGTTGATACTATTTGTATTTCCCTATTTTCTTATGTTCTTCCTTAAAGTTGTTGGAGTCTTTTCCAAATGCTAACTTGCCTCAGTTATCAAGGAAGGAGGAAAGGGAAGGGATTTTTGTTCATATTTAAGCCAGAACTGTACACGGGCAGTAGCAGAATCATCAAAGTGCGAGAACCCCAAAGAAGCACTCAGACTCAAAATCAACAGGGTTGAGTCTTTAATCAAGATTCCCTTCCCAGTGATGCAAACGTGTAGACATTCCCCCTGCACGATGATAGAGTCAACTGCATGTGGGGAGAGGAGTTGCACAGGATTACAAAACTGCTAACTAGTCTGACTGTTGTTTGCAAATTGCCCTCACAACATTTCTCAGTAGTTTTCCCCACCTTGGAACCTTGCTCCGGGCCCTGAAGCTGCATAAGGAAGATGTGAAGCTTAAAAGGATACACATTTACCACACCCCGGGCAAATCCACTTGTTGCGCCTCCAGGCTTCCCTGCCTTTCACTCGCGCTAGAGACCCTGGGGGAACATAGCCATCCTTTTCTTCAAACCCCTCTGAAACTTTCCCGATCGCTGCTGTGCCCATTTGCCTCCAGCCTCCCCGTCTGTGCAGAAACCAAACGACCCCTGTGTGATGAACACAAAGCAACACGCAGCTGCCTGTGGCAGAAGTGAAAAGGGCACTGGATGACAGTCAAGAGACCTGGGCTCCATTCCCGGCTCAGCCACGGGTTTGCCGTGCGTGTTTATGGCACGTACCTCATTCACCAGCTTGCAAAAACCAAGAGGACGACTTATTCCGAAGGTCGCCTGCAGCTCATGCTGCGGCTTGAGCGGCGTGCTCCAGGCCGCCCGACCACCACCTTCAAGACCGGGGCTCCGGCCGGCTTCGCCTGGGATGCCCCGGCGCTATAGGGCGTTCCCACACCCGGCTCCGGCCTGGCGAGGCGATCGCGACCCACACCCGTGGGCCGCGAGCGCAGCTCCCCCTGGTGGCCGCATCCGGGGACACAGCCAAGGTCCCTGACCACTCATCCCGACCCTACCTGCCTGTCCTTCCCCGCAAGGACCTGGCTACCAGTCCCCAAGGGTCATGTATGGAGGCGGCTGGAGACCAGAGGGAGGCCAGACCCCATCTCTCGGGTCTGCGGCTTCCCCCGAACCGCTCGGATCCCGGATCACAGCCCGCCACGCCCCGAGGACGCGCAAAGGGTTGATCTCCGTGACAACCAAAGTAGCGGGTAGGGTGCCGCAGTGGCCACCACCTACCTGCGCCCCAGCTCCAGGACAGCCACGCAGGCCGCTCAACTACGCTCCCGAGCATGAGCCCCCGAGCAAAACAAGCCTTTATAGCGGCATCGGCCGCCACACCGCGCAGGCGCGCTGCACAAAGCCTTCCCAAGACTGAAGGGAATTGTAGTTCCCCTTCCCGGGGCCCCAGGCTCGGAGCCCGGCAAAAAACTACATTTCCCAGAAGCGCCGCGGACGCCCCGGAGGCGATGCGGGCTGCCCCTTTTTCCACCGTGCTCCGGGCTCTACTCCATCCTTCTCCGTGCCTCCGCGAGCTTGTCTGGAATCTTCTCTGCGATCGTGTTCCCAGTGGGCAGCCAAGGAGGGGTCACAGTAGCCCTGTGTTTGTACACAGCCGTGTTCTTGGGCGGGACCGTGCCGACCGTGCGTGGCCGTTCATATCGTGAAATCACATCGAAAAATATCGTGAAGGTCATCGCAGCCTGCTTCTGCTCCAGAGTCGTCATCACAGCCGGCCAACCCCAAATCTCTTTTTTTTTTTTTTTTTTTGAGTTGGAGTCCCACTCTGTCGCCCAGGCTGGAGTGCAGCGGCACGCTCACGGCCACCGCAGCCTCGACCTGCTGGACTCAAGCAGTCCTTCTGCCTCAGCCTTCCAAGTAGCTGGAACTACAGGCGTGCACCACCATACCCGGCTATTTTTTTTTTTTTTAATTGTAGAGGCAAGATCTCGCCAAGTGCCCAGGCTGGTCTCCAACCCCTGGGCTCAGGCAATCCTCTCGCCTCGGCCTCCCAAAGTGCTGGGATCACGGGTTTGAGCCACTGAGCCCTGCCGCAGCCCCAAAGCTTATCTGTTGTGGCACTACACATTTGGCGATTGCTTGTTCATGGTTCGAGCCTGCATTCTACACAGATACCGCCTATCTCCCTTTAATCCCTACTGTCCATCATGTAAGGTTGTGCCGCCTGGTTTCTAGATAATAAAATGCCTGGATCATGGTTTTAGAAGGACCTTAGAAATAGTATGCTAAAGCCCCCCCCCCCCCCCTTTTTTTTTTGAGTTGGTGTCTCTGTTGCCCAGGCTGGAGTGTAGTGGCATGCTCACAGCCACCTCAGCCTCGTCCTCTTGGATTCAGGTGATCCTTCTGCCTCAGCCTTCCAAGCAGCCACACCTACCCCCACACCCCGCTAATTTTTTAAAATTTATTGTAAAGATGAGGTCCCGTCAAGTTGCCCAGGCTGGTCTCGAACCCGTGGGCTTAGGCAATCCTTTCACCTCGGCCTCCCAAAGTGCCGGGATTATATGCATGAGTCACAGCACCCGGCCTGAATAATTTTATTTTTATACAACTAGGTAGTTAGCTAGTGTGGAGATACCAATGTATCATAAAGCTAAAGTTAACATCGTGTGTTGTTACACACAGATTGATAGTGCAATGGAATAAAGAGTCTATAAATAGTCTACTGCATATATGTTACTTGGTCTGTGACAGAGAAGACCTTACAAATTAGTGGGGAAATGAAGAGTCAATAAATAGCACTGAGACCAATTGATTATCCACGTGAAAAAAAATCAGGAATTACTACTTCATACCAAACAGAAAAATCAGTTTCTGGTAGATCAAAGGCTTAAACGCGAAAGAAAAAATGTAAATATCTTTATGAACTTGGGAATAGGGAGGAACTTAAACAAGACACAAAAACAAATAATAAAGGAAAGATCGATAATTTTTACTGCTTTAAAATAAAAAAACTTCTGAGCCTGGGCAACATAGAGAGACATTGTATCTACTAAAATAAAATAAAATGAAATAAATTAGCCAGGCATGGTGGCATGCTCCCGTAGTCCCAGGTACTCAAGAGGCTAAGGCGGGAGGATTGTTTCAGGCCAGGAGTTCAGGGCTGCAGTGAGCAATGATGGTGCACTCCAACCTGTACAACAGAGTGAGACTCTGTCTCCAAAAAATTAAAATTAAATTAAACTAAAACTTCTGTACAAGATGCCATGAAGTGAAGAGATAAAGCACAAGTTATAACTCACAACATTTTTAAATACAAAATATTCATATAATATCTACAACTCAATAAGAAATGGCAAATAAGCCAATAGGAAAATATAGCAAAATAAGTAAATGATATGAATGGACAACCCTACAGAAAAGGAAACCCGAGAAGACCCTCAATCTCACTAATAACCAGGGAAATGAAAATTAAAATAGCAGTGAGATTGCACCTCACCAAAGCATACTAGTACTTCCAACTATACCTTAAGCACGTCGCACCCAAAAGCTGCAGATCTGATGCCATCATATAAAATAAGAAGCTCCTAGGCTGGGCGCAGTGGGTCACACCTATCATCCCAGTGCTCTGGGAGGCCAAGGTGAGAGCATTGCCTGAACCCCCGGGTTCGAGACCAGCCTGGGCAACTTGGTGAGATCTCGTCTCTCCAATAAATCAAAAAATTAGCCGGGCACGGTGACTCGTGCCTGTAGTTCCAGTTATTTGGAAGGCTGAGGCAGAAAGATTGCCTGAACCCAGCAGGTTGAGGCTGCAGTGGCCGGGAGCGTGCCACTGCACTCCAACCTGGGCAACAGAATGAGACTCAAAAAATAAAAAAATTAAAAATAAAAAGCTTCTAGCTTTTACAGGAGCCGACATGCCTCCGTTTGTGCCGCTGCCATGTCTCTAGCGATGCCTGAGAAGTTCCAGCACATTTTGTGGGCACTCAACCCCAACATCGATGGGCGGCGGAAAATAGCCTTTGCCATCACTGCCATTAAGGGTGTGGGCCGAAGATATGCTCATGTGGCATTGAGGAAAGCAGACTTTGATCTCACCAAGGGGGCAGGAGAACTCACCAAGGATGAGGTGGAACATGTGATCACCATTATGCAGAATTCATGCCAGTACAAGATCCCTGGTTCTTGAACAGACAGAAGGATGTCAAGGATGAAAAATATAGGCAGGCCTTGGCCAGACAACAAGCTCCGTGAAGACCCAGAGCGACTGAAGAAGATTTGGGCCCATAAAGCGTTGCATCACTTCTGGGGCCTTCATGTTTGAGGTCAGCACACCAAGACCACTGGGCACCATGGCCATACTGTGGGTGTATTCAAGAATAAATAAAATCTGTAGGCCTTGTTTGTTAAGAAATAGTTTATATGCCTAAAGAAATAAAGTAAAATAAAATAAAAAGCTTCTAAATCTCCCTGAAAAATTTCAAACATATTGATTGTAGTGTTTTGTTTTGTTTTTTAAGGAATGGATACACACTATACAGCCCCAGTGGCATACTTCAATACACTGTAGTACTGTCTTGGTCTGTCTACAGATAGCTTAAGCCAAATAATTATACTTAACTTATTTACATGATTACCAAATACCCATGCCTCAAAATGTATTTGTGTTGTGAAATGTTTAGGGAGCTGATATCCCCCAAGTCTCAGACAAGGGCCTAGAGAATTTATGTTGCAATGCAAAATTGTATGCATTTTTAAATATTATTTATGTTGTGTAATGTTCTAAATATATTCATTTATTCAATGTTTGATGGCAATACAATGGAGCCAGAACAAACAAGTTTCCTGCCCTCATGGGGCTTAGACTCCTAAATAAACATTAATCAAAATTTAAATATAACTGTGGTAAGTCCTAAAAAGGAGATATTGTTACATCCGAAGGTATACTAGGAGTCCGTGAAATTGAGACAGCAGAGATGGGCAGGGGAGGTAGCAATCAAAGCAGAAGGAACAATAAAGGCCAGGTGGCAGTGAAAGGAAGGGAACATCTCCAAAGGCCTTGTAGACATGTCACAGGTCTTTAGAGTAAGAGCAAAAGACAACTATTGGAAGGCTTTAAAGGGCAAATAGGTTAGGAGTTGAGAAATCAGCTTTACATTTTGAAAACTGTCCTGTGGCTGGTAGACAGGAGAAAGAATTAGAGACAGCTAGAATGGAAGAGAAGAGGCCAGCTAGGAGTAATTGTTTCCCTCCAGGAAAGAGAGAATGGTGGCTTAGACTATGGTTGTGGTGGAAAAGACGGGGAGAAGTGGATGAAATTTTAGAGAAATTGAAGAGGTAAGACCAACAGAGCGTATGTAAGTCGGGGTGTCACTTTGTTGTCCAGGCTCGAGTGCAGTGGCATGATCATGATGATCATGGCTCATGGCAGCCTTGACCTCCTAGGTTCTGGCAATCCCTCTGCCTCAACTTCCCGAGTAACTGGTACTACAGGTGCGTGCCACTATGCCTGGCTAATTTTTTTTTTTTTTTTGGTAGAAGCAAGGTTTTGCTATGTTGCCCAAGCTAGTCTTGAACTCCTGGGCTCAAGCAATCCACCAGCCTTGGCCTCCCAAAGTGCTGGGATTACAGGTGTGAGCCACTGAGCCATGTCCAACAGAACATGTTGATGGATTAGATGCAAAGGAATGAAAAAGAGGTGTCACCAAGGCTCCTGGTTGTAGACCTGGGTGGATGGTGGTCTGTTCATCAGCAGGAGAAATCTCTACTGCAATAGCCTCCCACACCCTCCTCTACTCATCTTGTCAGGAACTAATGTCAAATGGTAACGATCACACCACATTTACTATGGCATTCCTATTGAATTCTTCTGCCACTTATCAAGACAGCTATTTTGACAGATCAATTTTGCAATGAAAGCCTTTTTTGTTTTCTTAGGAATAAGTTTGTTTTTGTTTTTGTTTTTTGAGTTGGGGGTCTCACTTCGTCACCCAGGCTGGAGTGCAGTGGCATGCTCACAGCCACCACAGCCTCAACCTGCTGGGCTCAGGCGATCCTTCCGCCTCAGCCTTCCAAGTAGCTGGAAACTACAGGCACGCATCACACGTCTGGCTAATTTTTTGATTTATTGTAAAGATGAGGTCTTGCCAAGTTGCACAGGTTGGTCTCAAACCCCTGAGCTCAGGCAATCCTCTCACCTCAGCCTCCCAAAGTGTTGGGATTATAGGTGTGAGCCACCACATCCAGCCATAGGATTTTTTTTTAAAGTTAGTTCATAAATCAAGTGTTTTTTGACATCATGGAAATATGGTGTGAAAGAATAACGCACCCTTTAATGGTCTTGGGAAAATTAGAAAGGAAAGGATTTAAATTGTGGACAATGCCAAATGAAAGTCGAATGATTTTGTAGCGTGTTCTACAAAGTATACAGTAGAATAGGCATGGTATGATCAGTCATAACACATATTCATGTTGTGAAGAAAAGTATTTCGTACATCCCACCTTTGTAGTAGCAACTTCCCTTGTTGCTTCATTGTTACCTTACTTCATTAGCAGTGAGCGTAGTAGATAGTATAAAATGAAGAATTGCAGTGCAGGGTGCGATGGCTCACGCCTATAATCCCAGCACTTTGGGAGGCTGGAATGAGAGGATTGCCTGAGCCCACAGGTTCGAGACCAGCCTGGGCAACTTGGTGAGACCCCATCTTTACAATAAATCAAGAAAAATTAGCCGGGCATGGTGGCACCCGCCTGTAGTTCCGGTTATTTGGATGGCTGAGGTGGAAGGATCGCCTGAGCCCAGCAGGTCGAGGCTGGGATGGTCGTGAGCCTGCCACTGCATTCCAGCCTGAGCGACGGAGTGAGACGCCAACTCTAAAAAAAAAAAAAAAAAGAAATGAAGAACTGCTTTAAAAATTTTTTTAAGTACTGTTATATTGAGATGTACTATCAAATTGGTCAAATAGCAGATAGGTGTTCAAAAACTAGCTCCTTGTTAAAAAAGAGGGCAAAAAATGGCAGCAACTATCTAATTTTAGCAAAACAATATTATCCATCACATTAGTGTTGTGTAGATTTTGTAGTCTTGAGTGTATAACTTGTACATTCATTGTAACTTTATAATGGTATAAGCGCTATAAGCATAAGAACTTTGTACATAGTTTTATGAATTGATATATTTAAGTAATATTATAAAAATAAGTCAACAACAGGGATTTGAGAGAATTGTTTCACTAAAAAGAGGTCTGAACCTTATTCGAGTTTGGGAAACACTGGGCTGTAAAATAAAACCAATCTTTAACTTGGTATGTAAAGCCTTCCGTGATCTGGCGCCACATAATACTACAGCTTCATCCTCTGTCACTCTCCTAGTCAAATCTGAGGTCCCAACAACACTGTAATTTTTGTATTCTTACTCTAGATATTCCCTCTACCTAGGACAACTTTCTAAACCTGCTCAGCTAAAATAACACACACAGATAAGCCCATAGACAAGCCTTGGGATTTTAATCCTCCCAGAATGACAGTTAGAAACTACTTACTCAATTGAATAAAATGATACCGTATGTTTAACATCTCGAATAATAAGATGTGTAGGCCGGGCTCAGTGGCTCAGCCTGTAATCCCAGCACTTTAGGAGGCCGAGGCGAGTGGATTGCCTGAGTCTGCGAGTTCAAGACCAGTCCAGGCAACTTGGCGAGACCTTGTCTCTACAATAAATCAAAAATTAGCTGGGCGTGGTACCGTGCTCCTGTAGTTCCCATTACTCGGAAGGTGAAGGTGGAAGGATCACCAGAGCCCAGCAAGTTGATGCGGGGGTGGCCGTGAGTGTACCACTGCACTCCAGCCTGGGCAACGGAGTGAGACTCCAACTCAAAACTATATATATAAGATGTGTATGGAGAATTCTACCACATTATTGGGAAATGTGGACTGGGCATCTGTCTGGCCACAACATAGAAGGCAGTAGGGTCCCTCTGAGCCAGAGAAGCAAGAACCAATAGTCCAGCCGAAATGGAGCCTCCTCCAAAAAACAGGCCTAGGCAGACTTAGAGAATAGTCACTCCCACTAATTGCCCAACACTGCTCACATGTTTTGCTTGCTTAACAAAAGCTTTTTGATCAGAAGAGATTAACAACTTTGATCTACATTGGCAATAACAATCATTTTAGTGTGAATATCAGTTCAACAAAATTTTAAAATTATGCAGACTATACTTACTTTTCAATCAAAATAATTCAAGTGTTAAGTTCCACAAAGAAAAAATATATATTCTTAAAACATAAATAATATACTTTATCGATTATGAGATCAACAATGAGAAAAATCAGCATGGCTTTTCATCTACTAATGTTACTTGTGTGGACGTGTTTGAGACGTAGCAATATCAAAGCATCTTTCTTAACTTTCACCCTAAAATTAGATCTGGTGGACAGCATGTGGGAAAGAAAAAAAAGACTCCTAAGTCTTAAGTCATTCTAAGTTCATATTGATCAAGGATTCAGGGATAGCTTGAAATTTATATCTATTTCACTTTCTACTTGTTTGTAGCTTCTTACAGTTCTAATCAAACTTTAGGTTTTAAAATACTCATCCAGTTTGTTTTTTAAATTGCTTGATAGACACACATGTATATGGGCTACTTGCTTTCTGTATTCTATCTTAGCAAGTTTGAGACAAATTTCTAAATTTTTTTTCTTCTGGATTTCTATTTACCTAAAGCAGTGTTTCCCAAAAATAATCCTGCAGTATATTCTGAGGAAAAGGAATTTTCAAAGTCATTATGAATATGATATTCAAAAGTCATATTAATATTTTAGCTAAATACTCTGAGAAATCCTACAATAATGAAACCTGGTTGTCCTTATGTAATTCAACATTTCTCAGACTTATTTGAACATAGAAGGCAGTAGGGTCCCTCTGAGCCAGAGAAGCAAGAACCAATAGTCCAGCCAAAATGGAGCCTCCTCCAAAAAACAGGCCTAGGCAGACTTAGAGAATAGTCACTCCCACTAACAAGGCACTAACAAAAACAATTTTTTAAAAAACAACATTTAACATATCCTGTTGAACTATGTTCTGCAGAAGATGTTTTGTCAAATGCTGATCTAAAATCTTTTTTTAGATGTGTATAGAGAATTCATCCACATTATTGGGAAATGTGGACAGGGCATCTGTCTGGCCACAACATGGAAGTTGAAGTCTCACTCTGTCATCCGGGCTGGAGTGCAGTGGCACACTTACAGCCACTGCAGTCTCAGCCGGCTGGGTTCAGGCGATCCTTCCGCCTCAACCTTCCAAGTAGCTGGAACTGCAGGCATGCACCACCACACCCAGTTAATTTTCAAATTTATTGTAGAGACGAGATCTTGCCAAGTTTCCCAGGTTAGTCTCAAACCCATAGGCTCGGGCAATCCTCTCACCCCCATCTCCCAAAGTGCTTTGATTACAGACGTGAGCCACCACTCCCGGCTTAAAGTCATTTTTTAAAAGCAGAACTATCAAAACAAAAAAACAGCTTCCCAAAGGGGAAGGAATTCTCCAGTGATGAAGAGTGGTGCTGAGGAGGCCAGAAGGGTGAATCCTATCAGGGTCTAGCTGAGTGAGGCTAAGAGAACAGGGCTCTTATGCTCATAGGCACTGGTTGCTGCAATCAAGGCAGATATTTAAAGTCCAGACTATTCCACTTAGGCTGAAGCAACCTGGGCAATCTTAGGCTGGGCAGAAAAATGATTGCTGCCATTTTTACTGTTATTTCTGCTTCAATTTATGAATTGCTTAAGATGGGCAAGGCACTATACATACATTATTTCAAACCCACTCAAGACCCCTGCAAGATAGGTTTTACCCTCCCAATTTTAGAGATAAGGAAAATGAGACTGAGCGTAACATGACCCTTGCAGGAAGGATTTGGTCTTAGACATTTCTGACTGTACCAATCTGCAAAGCGTCTTCGTTGAAGCAACAGCTCTCTCTTTGTTCTCTACGCCACTGATTACCTTCCCTAAAGCCTTCCCTGCCAGAAATAACTCCAGAATAAAACAAGTTAAACCACTGGAGAGTTTCTTTGGTCCACTTAACCTTATCATGACTGATTTCTTCTAACTAACCAAACAATTACTCACCTAAAATCTGATAAAACCTATGATCACCTAAGCGTGGAATGGTATTTTGAAATGACTTCCCAAGGCTGTTTAAGAATCACACAAGAAAAATCTTAACATTCAAAGGCAAAGTCAGATATCTAAGAGGTCAAGAAGGTAACATGAATGAGAAGTACTGTTGGGTCTAAGGCAATAATGGATGATAAAGAAACTGTGATGATCTAGAGAGAATGTGCTTCATCCAAAGGGCTTACCACTTCTACACTCTGGCAGGCTGTTGTAAACAAAAACATGAGGCCAGTGTTGCTAGATCTCATTTCTCAAATGGAGCCAGAAACACAGCTTTCACATGAAATCTTCCCATTTGTAAGTGTTGAACAACTAATTTCTTAAAAACACTAGCAGGGCCAAGAAATAAACTTTTAGATTGATAGCTCATGGTGTTTTCTTTATTTTTTGTCTTTTTTAATTTATTTTTTCTTTTCTCACTCTTTAGATACTAGAGAGACATTTTCTTTAAAGTCATAAGTCAAATTCTACTAAAGAGAGTATTATCTCTGCTAACACCCCACTAATCACTCCATTCAGTAGACCTGGATCCAAATCGTTTCTGATACACTCCAAAAATTAAAAGTTAAGACTTGCCAGAACTAAAGTCATGTTTAAAACCTCAGTGTCTGGAGTTGATTTTAAAAAAGGAGACCCCCCAACCCCACTTTTTTTTTTCTGGAAGATGGCAACAGGGTTAAAAGGAGTGCATGTGTTACTTGGAGGCAATAGGGTTATATGTGTCTATTCAGTGATGAATTATATGCCAGAGTGACTTTAAAGTATGAGCAGGTGATAAGCACTGCTTCTGTGGCCAAATGTTTTTGCCTCCTCCTCTCCAAACTGATTTACCAGACTACTTTTGGAGACTAGATTCAGGCCCAGTTGGAGGTTTATTGGGGGTTTATTCCTCTGTGACATTCTCTTGTCCTCAGGGATGCTTGTTAGATAGGTGGTTAATGCCACCTGACACCTGTATTATTCAAAGGTAACACTCAAGGTGTGGCCTGAAGTCTTTTAAGGTGAACATCATCACCAAGTACCCAGAGAAGAGCCAAGGAGACAAAGATGGGAAGCGGCTGGCTCCACAGGCAAGAGTTCCTCCTCTCCTGCGTCCTCCACCTGCTGCTGCCAGGTAAGATCGAATACAGCAAGAGCAAGGCAGACATGTAACTCCCGGGAAACGGGATTGCTGTTAATAGAAAACTAATATAAAAATAAGATGACAACATAAAATTAATATTATAAAATAATATACTTTTGCTGTTCCTAGATAGTCAATGACTGGGCATTCATTTGGGTAAAAATGAAAATTCATGCTTTGTCCCTTAACTAGGATCCTAACACATAGTTGACTTTTGTCTTTGGCTTCTTTTCTACTCTCCAAGCTTCTATTGGCCTCTTCTCCTGGCCCATATCTCTTTTTCCAGGCATATGGTCTATCCCTGTGGTTTTTCAGTATCAAGTGATGTTAAAAAGAAAATTCTTTCTCAGTTCTTTTGAAGCCAGATGAAATGGACCAGAGAAGATGCTAAGAGGAAGGATGTGACTGAGAAGATCTTTCATGATAGAAGAAAACCTTTTCAGTGTAACTTTCCCAGTCTATAGTATCTTTCTTGCACATTATCGAAAATGAGCAATGAGGGATAAAAATGAAATATAGCAGAAGCTATTATCATATATCCGCTTATGCTTCACAAAGTATGACTAGAAAGGGGTGAGATGAAAGAGGTGAGAGGAGTATCAAGGAACTTTCTTTAAGATAGTCTCAGTGATGAAGACTACTGAGTTTTAGGAGAGGACAATCATAGTGCAAAGTAGAGACAGTAAATACTCATTAAATTGAAAAACTGAGGCACTTCCTTAAGGTCTCATATATCTCATATTCTCTTCCCAATTACTTCCCTTGTTATTAATTTATGACCTTATTAATGCAGTGAGGAGGAGAACCGTGATTGCAAAATTTGTCATTGGCATCACCAATGTAGCCCAAGGACAGAGGTGAGCAACAGAAGGACATTGAGTGAAGGTGAACAGGTTTGTGATGAAATTGTTAAAAACATAGCAAGACACTGTAAAGTGGTGGTCAGGGTGGAGTTTGCATATGCACATGGACAAGTTTTGCATGGAACAGAAACAATGAACTTGAGGACAGATCCCTGACTCAGCTCACCTCATGAGCCTCTACTATTTGCCTACCAGCCAAGCCCACCCTCCCTGGACCAGGAAGGAGGAGTGCACATGCTTGTCCTGGCGTCCCCTGTTTTCTCTCTGCGCAGAAACTCTCCTTACGCCAGCCCTGGCCTTCCTCTCACAGGGTCTCTGCTCTCCACAGGTAGAGGTGACACTTTCACCATCAATTGCTCAGGCTTTGACCAGCATGGGGTGGACCCTGCAGCCTTCCAAGAAGCATTTGACAGAAAGCCCTTCCGTCCAGCCACCAACAACAGTGACCCTACTCATGTCAACATCTCCTTCACTCTGTCTGCCATCTTAAAAGTGGTAAGTCCTCAACCAATATTACAATAGTCTAGTGGTGAGAAGTGGGTCCTTTGATAACATTTTATAAAATTAGAGACTCACGAAATGAGCAAACAAAGCAATTCAAAAATGGGCAAAGGACTTGAGTAGACATTTCTCCCAAGAAGATAAACAAATAGTCAATAAGCACATAAAAAGATGCATGCTCGCCGGGCTTGGTGGCTCAGCCTGTAATCCCGTGCCTTTGGGAGGCTGAGATGAGTGGATTGCCTCAGCCCGTGGGTTCGAGACCCGCCTGGGCAGCAAGACCTCATCTCTACAATAAATCAAAAAATCAGCCGGGTGTGGTAGCGCATGCCTGTAGTTCCAGCCACTTAGAAGGCTGAGGTGGAAGGATCGCCGGAGCCCAGCAGGTCGAGGCTGCGGTGGCCGGGAGCGGCCACTGCACTCCAGTCTGGGCGACAGAGTGAGACTCCAACTCAAAAAAAAGATGCATGCTCAATATTACTAATCATCAAGGAAATGTACATCAAAACTATAATAAGATACTATCTCACATTCATTAGAATGGCTTCTATTTAAAAAAAAAGAAACAAAATTACAGGTGTTGGTGAGAATGTGGAGAAACTGGAACCTTTGTGCATTGCTGGTGGGGATGTAAAATGGTGCAACCACTATGGAAAACAGTATGGCATTTCTTCAAAAAATTAAAAATAGAATTACCTTACAGCTCAACAATTTCCCTTCTGGGTATATACTCAAAAGAAGTGAAAAAAGGGTCTCAAGTATAATTGTATACTTATGTTCATAGCAGAATTATTCACAATAACTTGAACATGGAAGCAATCCAAGTGTCTATCGACAAATGAATGACTAGATTAAATGTGGTATATACATCCAAAGGCCTATTATTCAGCCTTGAAAAGGAAGAAAATTCTAATACAGACTACAATGCGGATGGACCTTGAGAACATTATGCTAAGTGAAACAAGCTAGTCACAAAAAGACGAATACTACAAGATTCTATTTATACTGATGCAGAAAGTAGCATGATAGGAGGAATAGGGAGTTACTGTTTAACGAGTAAAAAGTTTTGGCAATGGATGATGGTGATGGATGCATAGCAATGTGTTTATGCCACTGAACTGTACACTTAAAATGGCTATTAAGATAGTAAATCTTATGCTATGTGTGTTTTATCACAATAAATAATTTTAAAAATGATTTTTAGAAGTGTTAAAAATTAGAGGCACAGTCTATGGTGTGGAGAAACATAAGGAATGCTGCAATGCCATCACTGCAAGTAAAATCTGTTATCTTCTGGAATACTCCACAAGAAACAGATTCCCAGTGGACCTTCATACTGGGCTTTCACTTACATTTTCCCTGTACCCTGGGATATTTTGACCTACATTTTCCAGGGGTTTATGCTTAAAAATAGTTATTATCATAAGGAGCAGCCTTGGAAAAGAGCAAGAAGTGGGTGGTGGCACTGTACCCACCTTCCTGGAGTTAATGATCCTGGACAAAAACTGTTTTTCCAGGATGCACACCTTCAGCTGATGACATCGTTCCTGTGGATAAATATGGTATGGCAAATTCAGTTTCCTCTTTACTACGGTACCTCTGTTTTTCCACTCCATTCAACTTTGCAGATTATATTGGATAAATCTGAGAATATCCACAAATTAGAAAAGTTCATCCTCTTTACACTATGTAATTATTTTTTAAAATCTTCTTTGTACCATATGATTATTTTTAAAAAATAGAAAAGTTCAAACAGTCAGACCAACAAAGAAAACACAAAGTGTGGGTGACTCCATCAACAAGGGTACCTGAATAATGAACATTTGTATAACAAACCCTGAATTGTACCCCACATATTCAAAATTAAAAAAAAAAAAGAGGCCGTGCACGGTGGCTCAAGCCTGTAATCCCAGCACTTTGGGAGGCCAAGGTGAAAGAACTGCCTGAGCCCACAGGTTTGAGACTAGCCCGGGCAACTTGGCGAGACCTCCTCTACAATAAATCAAACATCTGCTGGGCATGATAGTACGCACCTATAGTTCTGGCTACTTGGAAGACTGAGGCGGAAGGATTGCCTGAGCCCAGCGAGTTGATGCTGGGGTAGTTGTGAACGTGCCTCTGCACTCCAGCCCGGGCGATGGAGTAAGACTCCAACTCAAAAAAAGAAAAAAGAAAATAAAACTTCCTGATTATGCTGCCAGTTTAGGAGGGCAGACATGGGACGCAGGAGAAGGTGGCATAAACCAAGTCATGGAAACCAGTACTTCAATGGCTCCATCTCAGGGAATCCAGAGCTAAGCTCAGGGTCACCCTTGAGAACACTGAGGTAGAAGGGGAAGCCAGAAAAACTTCGTTATTGACAGTGTGACCACTGTCACCAAAGAGTAGATGGGAGAATGAAGAAAGGAGTGAAAAGGGAACATCAAGTGATGAGTAAGGCTAAGACCTTTTTTTTTTTTTGAATTGGAGTCTCACTCTGTCGCCTAGGCTAGAGTGCAATGACACGCTCACAGCCACCACAGCCTCGACCTGCTGGGCTCAGGAAATCCTTCTGCCTCAGCCTTCCAAGTAGCTGGACCTACAGGCACGTGCCACCACACCCAGCTAGTTTTTTAAAATTTATTTCTTGTGGAGATGAGGTCTTGCCAAATTGCCCAGGCTGGTTTCAAACCCTTGGACTCAGGCAATCCTCTTGCCTTGCCTCCTAAAGTTCTGGGATTACAGGTATGAGCCACCATGCCTGGCTAGACAAAGACTTTTTAAACCTAAGCCACAGTTTATGCTCAGTTCAGTTTCCTCCTCCTGTTTGTCTCATGCCATGGTTTTCTCTAGATCTGGCACAATCCATTCATCAGGTGGAACCCAGATGAATGTGGGGGCATCAAGAAGCTCAGTCTGGCAACTGAGAACCTGTGGCTTCCAGATATATTCATCCAGGAGTTGTGAGTATCAGGGCTGAAAAAGTAAGACGAAAACCACATCTACAGGGAAGACCACAATGTAGCCAATGGAGTCACACAAAGACTCAATTTAGAAAAGAGCAAAATCTGGCTGGACTCGGTGGCTCAGTCTGTAAATCCCAGCACTTTGGGAGGTTGAGACGAGTGGATTGCCTGAGCCCACGGGTTCAAGACCAGCCCGGGCAACTTGGTGAGACTTTGTCTCTACAATAAAATAAAATAAATAGCCGGGCATGGTAGCACATGTCTGTAGTTCCAGCTACATGGAAGGCTGAGGCGGAAGGATTGCTGGAGCCCAGTAGGTCGACGCTGGGGTGGCCATGAGGTGCATACCACTGTACTCCAGCCTGGGCGAAGGAGTAAGACTCCAACTCGAAAAAAAAAAAAAATGAAAAGAAAAGAGCAGGGTCTGAATTGAAAAGCTTACAACCCCCCGGAATATGGCAAGGAGTGGGAGAGGGAAGTCATATGAGTGGGGCTAGATCTAGGAATGGGGTGACCCAGGAGAGAAAGAAGGCCAAGCCAGATGGGGAATCTCAATATCTCCTTCCCTGTCCTTCTCCCATACAGCATGAATGTGGATCAGACACCTGCAGGTCTCATGGCTTATGTCAGCAGTGAAGGTCATATCAAATATGATAAGCCAATGCAGGTGGTCAGCATCTGTAAACTGGACATCTTCTATTTCCCCTTTGATGAACAGAACTGCACACTCTCCTTTAGCTCTTTCACCTACACAGGTGAGCAAGCCTTATTCAAATAGACTGTTGAGAGGCAGAGAAAGGGTTTTGAGTGAAAAGAAGATACAAGCTGGGAAAGGTGACAGGATCTCACTGAAAGTGGTCTGGAAGCTACATGGGCCAACAGTCTGGGCAAAGGACTTGGAAATATCTGGGGAGGCTGAGTTTTTGGGTCTCCTTTGCAGTGGAGAACATGGTCCTGGGCATGGAGAAGGAAGTGCAAGAACTTGCGAACACATCACGAAACCTCATTCAGAGCAAGGGGGAGTGGGTACTTCTGGATATCTACCAAAGAACGATAAGGATAACCGTGGACACCAACCAGTACGACCAAATCATTTTCTATGTGAGCTCAAGAACCCTGGTTGTTACCTTCTCCTAAAATTCATTTCCTCTATCAGAATGTAAGCTCTCCCACTGGAGAAATAACCTCCATGGGACATGGATTTTTGTTACTTTTTTCACTGACAAACCTCCAGTACTAGAATTCAGTAAATATTCATTAAATAAGTCTTCCCAATTCAATGATTCATAGTAAGGGTGAGATTCCCATTCCCTAAGGACTACCAGAATTTTTAGAGGGCAGAAATTTTTATTTTTAAAAAGATATGGTGGAAAGAGTCATGAAACACTGTCTTAGGGATATTATGATTCCTAATCCTGACAACCTCAAAATATCTATCGCTGTCTGTTTTCCCTCCCACTAGTCTTAGATGTCCATCTGTAAAGTCACTAGAGACTAGACTTTGATAAGAAAAGCAAGCAGAAATTACAAAATTAAATATACACCTAAGTGTCTGGTCCCATAGTCTTGCTAAGAGCACAATGGTAGGAATAAAAATTTAAGTGAAGAAAGTTGACACTTTGGACCATGAAGGAATGAGATGTATTTCAGTGGTAAGCAGCATGGCTGAATCAAATGCTGTGAGATGCCTTTGAGCAGAGAGACAGGACAGTGAAAGGGACAGGAGGTAACGTTTCCTTACTAGACAATTTGGTCTGGGACGAATCCCGACTCTGGCTCTTACCTGGCTTGGCAGTCTCCAGCCTACTCCTCACTGCCCTCTCCCTCTCCTCCCCATCAGGTGGCCATCAGGCGTAGGCCCAGCCTCTACATCATAAACCTGCTGGTGCCCAGTAGCTTCCTGATGACCATCGACGCCTTCAGCTTCTACCTGCCAGCCGAGAGCGAGAATCGTGCCCCATTCAAGATGACCCTTTTACTGGGCTACAACGTCTTCCTGCTCATGATGAATGACTTACTCCCTGCTCGTGGCACTTCTCTCATCAGTATGCCCCTCCCTCCATCAAGAAAACAACAATGGGATGGGATGAAGGTGGTAGGATGGGGAGGGCATCAGTGGAACCAGGTCGGAACCAAAGGGATCCTGGGAAACGGTTCTCTGAGAAAGAGGAAACAAGAAGTCCTAGGTGGAGCCTCTGGCCCTCACACAGGCCTTCCCTCCAGGTGTCTACTTTGCCCTGTGCCTGTCCCTGATGGTGGCCAGCCTGCTGGAGACCATCTTCATCACCTACCTGCTGCACCTGGCCACCACCCAGCCCCCACCCATGCCTCGATGGCTCCACGCCCTGCTGCTGCACTGCACCAGCCCAAGGAAATGTTGCCCCACTGCACCCCAGAAGGGAAATAAGGGCCTGGGTCTCACCACCACCCACCTGCCTGGTGAGGGAAGCCAGCGCGGCCCACACTCTCCCTTTGTGCTAAGCCCAATTTCTCCAATGCCCGCCTCCTCTCTAATCCTGTCCCCTCCCCGTGTCATGACTGAGTCTCCGTCCTCTCCACAGGCCTGAAGGAGCCAGTGGAGTTAGTGGGGAAGGTACCAGGCCCCGGAGAGGCAGAACTGACTGGAAGCTCAGGATGGCCAAGGGCCCAGCAGGAACAAGAGGCCCGGGAGCAGCCCTCCGTGGAGCTGTGGGTGCAGTTCAGCCACGCGATGGACACCCTGCTCTTCCGCCTCTACCTGCTCTTCATGGCCTCCTCCATCCTCACCGTCATCGTCCTCTGGAACACCTAGGCAGGTGCCCATCTGTGAACCCCAGGATGGAGCTTCTCTTGCCTCCAGAAACCAGCCAGGTTCTCAAGCCTGTGCAAATTTCAGCCTCTAAGTTCTAGCAGCCACCTCATTTTTAACCCAGTTCTCCGCAATTTCAGACCAGACCTGAATAGTTTCCTTTGCTCTCCAAAAGTTGGGTCTTTGCTCCTGAGTGCCACCAGCCCTCTCAGCCCTCCCATGAGTCCTGCCTCCCTGTCTCCTCCTGGAGAACATCCTTGACAATCACCACAATAAACCCCTTTGCAGAAAGTATTGGCTTTTCCCTGAATTATATTGTGGTCAAATATCTTGGGATTAAGAGTCCTCTCGCAGATGCTTCTCATTCGCCAAAGTAAGAAGGATTTTCTTATGTGTGTGTGCATGTTTTTTAAGTCTATCAGATGACATGTGAAGTAGGCGGAAGGGAGAGAAGGGGCCAAAATCTATTAGAAGATTATAATAAAATGGAAATAACCTCCTAAATCCAGTTACTCTGGATTTAAGCTTCAGAAATGAATAATGTGCCAGAACTAGCCTCTCTTGCTTCTGGTGTCTCTGTCACAGCCTGACATATGACTCATTCATCATTATGCACTTAGAGTGTTAACATAATCCTGCATTGCTGTTAACCGTGTCTATGTTGCGATTTGAGTTGGCCCACCCTTCATCATGCTAAGAAAAGAACATTAGGCCAAGGAAGCACATTTTAAAATGGCATCTACTGTACTTGGGAGAAGCACAAATACCCACCCCCACCCCCATGCCCCCCATATGAACTGGAAAACTCCCTTTCCTAGCACTTACTTGCCTTATCACTTTTTAAGCCTTTGCCTATTGGCCCGTCTCTCCCACTAGCTGCCTTGTACAATCAGAGGCCCCACTCTGCCACTGCATATGAGAGCGGGGGTATTTATTGGTACAGAAAAGCATCTATTTGAGAGCAGCTAAACTACAACTCACACATGATCTTTGAGCTTTAACACTAATTTGTTTCTTTCTCTTGTTTCTTTTACTGCCTCCTAACTGAAGTCTGTATTTCCCAAGTCATAATGTCTAGGAGTAAAAACAGTTGCAAAGTTGTTCACTAAACAGTATTTCTCTGACTTCTCTCTACTGCTCTTTCTCAAACTCCTCTGGCTCCCTCTGGTTACTGTAGGTGCCCAAAGAGTGGCAAGGTTGCCAATGCCCACTAGAGATCCTGCTGCTGGTACAACTGGTGCCTGCCAGAGGTCCTACCCACCATGGTACTGTAACAGCTTCTGCTCTCTCAGAACTTAAGCCACAGAGGGCTGGGTCCTGGGGCTGCAGGTGCTCCCAGCTGGATGCAGAGTCGACAGGACCAGCTGTTCCTTGCTCTTTCCTTGTAGGTCCCTTCCACTGGGACTCCAGAGAGGTACATGGGATCCCTGGAGTATCAAGTTAGAAATACCCTACAATACTATGAATCACTCCTTGCACTCAGGTCCATGGTCCCTTTATTCTCCCTTCAGGATGCATTTTTTGTATGTTCCAGGAAAATCTTTGGCTTCAGTTCCAAAACTCTGCCATGTCACTAGTCCTCCAGGAATGTCCACCACCTCACATATACCCAGTCTAGGCTCAGTGAGGGGAACCCTTGCATTCACCTAAACAAATTGCTATATCTGTTATTATTTTGACAATTCTTCAGCTCACAGCTTTCTTCAAGGTGGACCTTCAGAGGAGACACAGTAATAATAATAATAATAACCAGCATTTATTGAATTACTAATATACAGCATTTATTGAATTACTAATTACTTTTTTTTGAATTTTTAAAATTTTAACACAATTCAAATCAGTGTATCTGGTTCATTTCAGCTCCTTCACCGCCAGACAAGGGGTCAGGGACTGTTTCAGTTTCTTGGCCTTCTCCTTATCTGTGATGACCAAGGTATAAAGGTACCTACTTCATTGAGCATTAAACTTCACATTATCCTTGTCTTTCTTGATCTTGACAGATTTAGTTAAATCATTTAGCTTTAACCGTGAGCAGAAAATCCTTGACTTCCTTAATTTTCCGAGGCATGACAATGAGGCTCGCAGGGGGAGAGCGCGAACAGGCACTACCCGAGAGACACTCACACCTAGCTACAAGAAAGGAGAGGGACAGAAAAGCAAACTCACATATTTAATCCTTATAGTAGCCTATGGAGCAGGAGCTGTCAATCCCAAGACTCTTGGCGCCAAATGTGTTTTGATTTTAAAAAGGTAATAATTGTGCATCTACTATCGTATTAACACCCCAACAGGAATATGGAACAGCACCCTATACTCAAACACACCTTATTCTCAAACACATCCAAGGGGGACCCAAAAGAACCCAGAATTTATTTATAGAAAATTGTGTATTTATTCTTACATGCTTAAATTTCAGTCACCTTCAAAATACTCTCTGTCTGATATAATACTCCTATCGAGATGCTTTTTTTCCACTGCTCAAAATTGTTTTTGAACTTGTCGATTTTGATGCTTTTTGGTGCTTCTGCCGTTTTTGGTTTCACCTCTTCCATATTGGCAAAACGTTTCCCTTTGAGCACCTTTTTCATCCAGAGAAACAAACGAACAAAACAGTCATTCAAGGTGAGAGCAGGTGAGTTGGGAGTAATACTGTTTTTGGTCAAAAACTGCTTGGACACTCAGCGTGATGTGAGCAGCTTGTTCGTGTCAATTACCCATCATGAAAAGGGCCAGTGCATTGAAAGAATCCTTTTAAAAAAAATTTTCACTGAAGCCAAACACAGCCTCTCACAACAAGGTAGCTGGTACACTGATGTCAATGGGTTCCTAGAACACTTACCTTGCGGGGGAAGTCTGTACTACAAGAAGCCCTGCCCTCCAACAATAATTCTGGGTTTTGGGGGGGTTCCCATTGTATTTCTACAGTGACATCTATGAATGTTCACACTAGGTAGCAAAAATAAAATTATGAATAGCCTTGCATCAATTCAGGTCAGATTTTGCCACCACATAATTTGCACCAAAAAAACCTGAAAATAAAAATAAATAACATCATTTGGCTTTCTAAGCTCTTTAGATTTTAGAACTATGGTTTTGAATTACTTCCACTTTATTTATTTAGAGTTGGAGTCTCACTCTTTTGACCAGGCTGAAGTGCAGTGGCATAATCACTGCTCACTGCAGCCTTGATTTCCTGGGCTCAGGCAATCCTCCTGAGTGCCTGAGACTATAGGCATGTGCCACCACGCTTGGCTAATTTTTTGACTTTTTTGTAGAGTTGAGGTCTCTCTGTGTTGCCTAGGTTGGTCTCAAATTCCTAGGCTCAAGCAGTCCTCCCACCTCAGCCACCCAAATTGCTGGAATTACAGGCATGAGCTACCATGCTCAGCCTTTTACTTTCATTTTATATAAGGAGAAAATGCACAGAAAGGTGAAGTGACAGCCTCTTAGTGGCCTTTCAAGGCTCCATAGCTAGTTAAGGAACAGTGCTGCCGTTTGAAACTTGGTAGGCTAATTCTGGAGAGTGGCCTTCTAACCTCTCTGCTATATTACCTTCCAGATTGAGAAGCCAGACAGGTTCTCAGAGCTCCCTACTTGGGGAGACATCAGTACCACTTTACATCTTTATCAGCTAACACTGTGGGAGAATTAAAATAGAGCAAAGCCCTGATCTGGGCCCCAGAGACAAACTTTCTTTTGAATTTCCTTTTACTGCCTCCTCCACCCACACCTCCAGCTCTCACCACCCCCAACATAAGTAACAACTGCTTACACTTCCTGCATTCCTTCCTGGAGAGAGTATTTCCCTTCCTCTGGATTCTGCTACTGGTATGCATTGTCGACTGCTAGATGCTTTGTACCTTTCTCTCCTGCACCCTATCCTGACATTGTCATTTCACCCGGAAACTCGTTCTTGACTTTTGCTGAGTAGCTCATTTGCCCAGCTTTTTTTTTTTTTTTTTTGAGTTGGAGTCTCACTCTGTCGCCCAGACTGGAGGACAGTGGCCGCTCCCGGCCACCGCAGCCTCGACCTGCTGGGCTCCGGTGATCCTTCCACCTCAGCCTACCAAGTAGCCGGAATTACAGGCATGCGCTACCACGCCCGGCTGATTTTTTGATTTATTGTAGAGATGAGGTCTCGCTGCCCAGGCGGGTCTCGAACCTGCGGGCTCAGGCAATCCACTCATCTCAACCTCCCAAAGGCGCGGGATTACAGGCTGAGCCACCGAGCCCGGCTCGCCCAGGTTTTGAGGGGTTCTAAAATTATTTAAGATCAACCTCCATCATTTTGTCTCCCCCGTCTTCATGTACATATTTCTCCACTTTTTTTTTTTCACATTTTCCCCCAATATGTAGCTGTAAATTTCATTTGAATAGAAAGTCGGCAGTTTCTCTTTTTTGACACATGGATTAAGATTCTATATCTCCTTTTTTTTTTTTTGAGTTGGAGTCTCACTCTGTCATTCAGGCTGGAGTGCAATGGCATACTCATGACCATCTCAGCGTCGACCTGCTGGGCTCCGGTGATCCTTCTGCCTCAGCCTTCCAAGTAACCAGAACTACAGGCATGCGCTACCATGCCTGGCTAATTTTTGATTTATTGTAGAGATGAAGTAAGTCTCGCCAAGTTGCCCGGGCTGATCTTGAACTTGTGGGCTCAGGCAATCTATTCGCCTCAGCTTTCCAAAGTGCTGGGATTACAGGCTGAGCCCCCGAGCCCGACGTATATCTCCTTTTAGTAAGGGAAGGCATGATATAATTGTAGTGATTTTTATTTTCTCCAAAAGCAAAATCTGAACATATGATCTTACCACACCACTGAGAATCACACAGAACCTTTGAAACTGAAGCTCTCCCACAAAATTAACAGGTATGGCTGCTACTTTGCTGTTCCACGTATAGTAGAATCATACACAAGTACACTTTGTGCTAATGGCTTTCCTCTTGTGATCTGGCAAAACTCTGAAAGCCTTTGCAAGGTAATTTATGACCTCTTTAGAAAC